TCATTGTTTCTATTTATTCGAGTCAATATTTTAAAGCCGTATATGATACTATTATCAAAGTTCTAAAATAGTTTAAAAAATTTTCATGACTATTCACTTGAAATTTGAAGCCTCTATGTTTAAATTAGTCCAAGCGCTTCCAAACCTATGTAAACAACGATTAAAAAATTCCAAAAAAGTTTAGAGATAAGTTATAATGCATATATCAATCCCACAAAATTTCATTGCAAAAATATAACCAACCAAGAGGGAAACAAAAAAGACAAACACCGTAGGAGAGTAAGTTGAACCATTTCCAACCATTTGAGGTCTAAAATGAACCGAGAAATTGTTTAGGAGGTTAAGTGCTTTTTGAAAAAAAAAAGCCGCAAAGTTTGATAAGAATCAAGAGAAGAAACAGAAATGATGAAGTAGATAGGCCACACCAACCATCGTCGTCGTCGTCGATCATCGTCGGCGCCTTGGGGCGATCGTCACTGGTCAGTAGCGGCTGTTACTGCAGGTGCTCGGCGAGGTCAAAACCGGCGCCGCCGCCGTGGCAAGCCTCCTCGGCCGCCACCGCCATGGTTAGACCTAACCTAGCTAATCAATCGAGGTCGTCTGATGTCTAGCTCAGCTTATAGAATTATTATATAAGTTGAAGTTGGGATCGGAATCGACGAAGGCCGGCGAACTATCCGTGTCTGAGCCGAACTGGAAGTCGAAGTTGTGCTTCTTTTACGAGCGGGCCCATTCGTCAGAGACTAGCTCACAAATCCTCGCTATGTATGTTCTACTCCCGTGGTAGATGGTATTTGAATTAAATTTGAAAATATACTATTCATTCAATTTTTTTCAGGAATATTTGGGATGCAAATTTTTTTTACAGAAATATACCGTCGGTCTCGTATAACCGTTGCACGAAAATGACGTGGGAATGACGTCGCGGGCGGTATCACACAGTAAAAGACCGCGCGGTCTCGCGCATGCAATGAAAGCGGCCGCGGTATGAAAGAGCTAGACCGCTCAAGCGATCATCGACACTGTCGCTCCATTTGATCAGTGATTAATTACTTAATTAACAATTAACTAATAATAATTAGTGACTAATTGTCTGAATTAACGAATTAACGATTAATTAATAATCAATTAATCACTAATTAGGATAATTAATCGCTAATTAAATCGAAATGGCACCGGTATCGCTGATTGCTTGAGCGAGACCGTTCGGTCTCGTTCTTCCATTCCACGAGACCACGCGGTCTCGCTCTTTCACTGCGCGATAGGCGTCCACGATGTCATTCCCACGTTATTTTTCGCGTAACGGTTGTGCGAGAACGATGGTATATTTCTACAAAAGATTTTGCATTCCAAATATTCCTAAGAAAAAATTGAATGAACAATATATTTTCAAATTTAATTCGATGGCATTTGATGCGCACAATAAGATTTGGATATACTTTTAGAACGTTAATCATCAATTTTATATGTAAATAGATTCATAAAATCTACTAAAGTTCATAAATATTATAAATAAATACTTTTCAAGATAAATCTACATATACATACTTTGAGAAATTGGTGATGGAAGTTTTGAAATATTTATGACGAAAGTAATATATAACAAAATAAAAAATGTGAGCGTATGCCTTGCCAAGCACGACCTAAGCTAAGCGAAAGAACCATAATTAATGTGCAAGGATACAATGAGAAATTCTGTTACCAAAATAACCATCTTTCAGAACAAAGAAGCATACCCACCACCCAAGGCATCGTCATCGTCCTGTCGTCCATACGAGTTTTAGAAGGGGAAAAAAAGAGAGAAAGAGTTTTAGCCGAGCAGGTAGATTGCAAAAGCAACTGCTTGACCTGAACCACCTGATAGACAGGAAGAACAAATCCTTCTTGTACAGTCCTACTGCGAGTGTGCAGCCCGGTCCATCCAGATTAATTGGGTCTGCTCCACCACAGATCCAACTTTAGATTATAAGTATAGACAATTCAAAAGACTAGTCTGAAGGGTGAGAACTGTCCCTATCTTTTAAGTCATGCTCACATATCATCAATTACCGATGTAAGAATAAACCCAACCATTATACTTCTACTCCTGTTCGGACGGAGACAAGACAGAGAACCTTTCCTAACAAGCGCGAACCATCTCAAAATTCATTCATTGCAGTACAGGATAATTTGCACATTAGCAAGCTTTGCTCCCATCCATGGTTTCCTTTGCAATCAGATCAGTAGCGATCGATCGAATAGCTGTCAAAATTGGCGGATCAGCGTAAGGGCCGTAGAGAGCCACCCCTTGGCGATGTAGCGGTAGATGGCCTCCGTGTAGTGACCACCGTCCCAGTGCACGGACGCCGACGGGTCCTCGCACGCGACCGCGCCCGCCATGCCGCAGATGGCGTTGCCGTTCCAGTTGTACGGCCCGCCGCCGCCGCAGCAAGCCTTGAGGATGCCACCGGCGGCGAATCCTGCACATCACAAATGTACAAATCACTTAACCATATATTGTAGATGGATATACCATGTACTGGATGTGACACATCTTAATACTACGTCTATTCAGATTTCGTAGTACTGGTCATTGCTTTCTTTTTTCCTTATGGAAAACTGAACGAACCAAATCTTGCAACGGGACACTGTACTTGATTAGTAAGCAGCTAGGCAAACGGATCGTCTAATATACTGCCCTCTAATTTTGAGTGGCTGACATGTGGATCCCACAGTCAATAAGCTCACATGTTAGTGACGTATATCAAAGAGTAGTACGTTAGAGGAGACTCGTTTTTGAGACTAGAAAATATACATACCAAAACGGACGGGGTCTTAGAGAACTTGGATGATGGGTCGGTAGAAGTCGGCGAAGATGATCTTGGCATGAGGGTACTTGCCCCTGAGCCCGTCGAGAGCCGCACGGAGCATTGCGTTGTGGCGCTTGGACATGCGGTTGACAGCACGCAGGCAACCGAGGCCATCGTAGTCTGTCGTGTTCGGGCTCATGAAGAGCGTGAGGACAATTGGCGAGCACCCCCATTGGCGGGTTTCCCGGCACGACCTAGTAAACCGCGCCTTGGTTGATCAGCCTCTGCAATACCCAAAGTTGAAGCAATGTAAACAAGAATACAAGTGAATTAATATGTATATAGTACTCTCTTCGTTCTAAAATATATGTATATAGTGCTACGTCTATTCAGATTTCGTAGTACTAGGATGGGAACCAAAATCCCTTATATTTTGGAACGAATATAGTAACAAAGTAAAACTGCAAATTGATACTAATGCAGATCGAAGTTTACCTCCACGGCCGTGGTGATTTTTTCCACGACTTGAGGCACCAACGATTTGACCTCTTTTTCGGTCTTCTTGGCCGTCCACATGAAGTTGTAGTCATTCACCCCGAACTCTCCAACGATGAAGAGGGATTTGCTGAAATAGTTCTTGAACCCTGTAGAGACCAATCGGTCTCTTGAAGTCAATTTAGGCTCGTGGAGAAGAGTGCAGTACGATGCTGTCTTCGATTCAGAGAATTGTTACCAATTCCAGCCGACGCACCATTGGCTTCATCTGTGCTGTTGCAAATCGACGGCTTGAGATGCTCGAGCCAACCAAGCTGCACATCCAGCGAATTGTTCAGAAGCTTATCTGCAATGTTATTTCTCTTGAAGAATGCAGAGTCGATCGCCGGCGCGGTGCCGACGGCGAAGTTCACGCCATGAGAGATGCTTGAGCTGTTCGCCATGAAGGCTGGAAGGAAAGGGAGACCAAACTCCTCGGCTACAAACAAACCGATTATTCTTCCAGTGTCATTGTAATTTTCAGGAAATTGAACTATTTGTATTGTTCTCCGAATCGAAATATTGCTGAACTTACCGATGAAATCGACGATGACTCTCCCATTGCAGACACGGCCCGTGGGGTGGCCAAAGAATGTCATGCCGTAAGGAGGCTTGTCGATCCACACGGGCATAACCGGAGTTGCCATGATAACGAAGTTACCGGTGTCGATGTAGGAGTTTCCAAAGGAAAACATCGAGGTGAAATAGTGTGAGGTTGAGCTCACACCAGAGAGACAGTAGAGGAAGGTGATAGAAAATACAAGTTTGAGCTCCATGATGCTACCTAACCTACTAGAAATGTGAAGAGCAGAGCTGAGTGCTAGCTAACTGCTTGGGTTATATGGAGGTACAATTCAATACTACTCCCTCCGGTCATAAGTTTTTGTTGCAGGTGACTTTGGAAATGACTTCTGACTATATGTCTTTTTTTAAAGAATTTTAATTACTATTTATTTTATTATGACTTGTTTTATTATCAAAGGTATTTAACTTGTTTTATTATCAAAGGTATTTAAAACATGACTTATATTTTTTAAAAAAATTTACACTAAATTTGAATAATATGAATGGTAAATTTCATTTCAAAGTCCATTATGTGAAATATTTATGATCAGATGAAGTGTAAAATAGTAGATTGTTTAAAACTTTAAATATGTGCCAAAAAGTGAGATAAGCAGTTGCTTGTTCGGTAGAGCTTGCAGTCAAAGGTTTGAAAATGTAGATCTGTATTGATAAAGAGCATAAAGGTTGAGAAAGGTTAAGGTTATGATTGCAGGACATAAGAAATGTGATAACGATTACAACTTGCAGTCTAAGTCAATATTTAGTCCGAAATCCACCATGGCCGCCCACGGGGGGCGCCGTGGATATCAAAGCTTACACGTTTTATCTGGTTTCGCAATTTGATAGACGGCTCTTTAGAAAGAAAAAAACCGTACTACGAGTTGATCCTTAATGATAGTAACACGTGAAGATTACTGCTTGATGGTTCTATATAGATGACAACAATTTATTGAAACAACTTTCTTGTTAATTATCAGGTTGTACAGAACTACAGATAGCTTCTTGGAATTCCAAGTTGACAAATCACACGAAAGAGTTAAAATCTACTAGTAACAGTGAGACAGTTTAGCATGGAAATACATCCTCTCACAATCAGTTAAGGTTCCAACAGAGGATCAGGATAGCACTCAGAACCAGGATGGTTAATTAGAAAATGATTTTCTTCTCTTTTACAAACTGTGGTGTGCACACACTGTATTACACTTATTTATTTCTTGAGCATAATCTGAATGTCAATTGTCAAACCACAGATCGATCGATTGCACACGGTATACAGACTTGCCACACAATCTGCCTGGATTATTATTCTTCCATGGTTTTGATCAATCCTTTCAGCAAATCAGTGGGGGATAGCAGCCAAAATTGGGGGATCAGCGTAAGGGCCATGGAGCCACCCCTGGGCGATGTAGCTGTTGATGGCCTCCGTGTAGTGGACACCGTCCCAGGAGACGGCGGCAGATGGATCCTGACAGGCGACCACTCCGGGCATGGCGCAGATGGCACTGGCGTTCCAGTTGTAGGCGCCGCCGGTGCCGCAGCAAGCCTTGAGAACGCCATCGGCGGCGACTCCTGCATAAGTACAGCAAATGTCAGACAAAAGTCACTGTGTTATTGAGCAATGCTCCCTCCGTTCAAAATGTAACAATTTATATGTAGTGTTTCCGAATATACTATTTCTCCATCATAAAATATAGAAACATAATGCTTACAGTATAAAATATGACTTTACCACTAAACTACCTGTATTATCTCTGCCCTTGACTTTATTATAACCCATAACTAGTCCGATCCTACTCCCTCTATCCCTAAAAATAATCCAATAATTTTTTTATGGAGGGAGTATATTTCACTTATCCCAAGAAGTCAACTAGGTCTTTTGTACCCTCTTCTTAATACCTGTGCTAAAGGCTAAAACTTAATATACTTTGGGACAGAGAGAGTAGCATAATAGTTATATTCGATACCAACGCGCAAATAATTTAATAATTCACAAGTTATGATGGGAAGTATTTCCACACCGTAAGATTGTGTGGAAAAAATAAAATAAAAATTATAAACTAGTTAGTGCAGATAACTCAATAAGCCAATAACATTACATACCGAAATGGCTGGGATTCTGGAGGACTCGAATGATGGGATTGTAGAAGTCAGCGAGGATTATCTTGGCATGGGGATACTTGCCCCTGAGCACGCCAAGAGCCGCACGAAGCATTGTATTGTGGCGTTCGACCACGTCATTGATGAAACGCAAGCAGCCGAGGCCATCGTAATCTGTCTTATTGGGGCTCATGCGAGACGTGAGAAGTGCTGGTGCGCATCCTGTTGGCGGGTTCCCTGGCACCACCACGTAAGCTGCACCTTGGGTGATGAGCCTCTGCAATATGCAAATTTCAGGGAAAAAAATCAATTGATCTACGCGGTGATTAGAATTTTCCAAGTGTTTGGAAAATGAAAAGCGTAAAAAACGACCAATATAACGTTGATAAAAAAAGGAAAATAATGTGCTGGATACCTCAACGGCTGTGGTGATTTTTTTCACGACTTGAGGGACATACGAATCGACCTCTTGTTTGGGCTTTCCCGCCATCCACATGAAGTTGTAGTCATTTACCCCAAACTCTCCGACGATGAAAAGGGTTTTACCAAAACAATTTAGCCCTGTAGAGACCATCAGTTTCTTTGATATTAATTTACGCTCATTAAGAAGAAGATAAATATATATGTATATGTCATTGCCTATGGTTCAAGAATAATTATCAATGGCAGCCAGAACACACCATTGGTTTCATCAGTGCTGTTGCAAATGGATGGCTTGAGCTCCTCAAACCAACCCAACTGCACGTCCAAAGAATTGTTCAGAAGCTTAAACGGCACAATATTGTTATTCTCGAAGTATTCAACGCCAGTCGCCGGCGCGCCGCCGACTGCGAAGTTTACGCCATGGGAGACACTTGAGCTATTCGCCAGGGAGGCTGGAAGGAAAGGGAGCCCAAATTCCTCGGCTAGAAACCATGTCAACACAAAGTTAGAACTATAGTACCAAACTGATCATGCAAGTTCATAGTGGAAATCCTATTTTTTAATTCTCACGGTAAAATACCAGATTCGTTGTACTAGAATGTATCACATCCTAGTACGAGATTGGTTTATTTTGGGACGAAGGGAATACCTATTTAGGGTGTTGCTTAACTTACCAATGAAATCGATGATGACTCTCCCATCACTCATGCGGCCTGTAGGATGGTCAAAGAAGGTCATGCCGTAAGGAAGCTTGTCATTCCACACGGGCACAACCGGACTGGCCATGATGACGAAGTTGCCGGTGTCGATGTACGAGTCTCCAAGAGAAAACATCGAGGTGAAAAACTGCGAGGTAGAGCTCACACGAGAGAGACAGAAGAGGAAGGCAATGGGGAATACAAGTTTGAGCTCCATGATGCTCTCTCTGCCTGCTAGAAATGTGAAAGAAAAACAAAGACACAGCACAAGTAGAGAGGACCTTCTAGCTATTTATAACCGTAAGACATGACAGATGAAAAATAACCCATTGTTTAATACTTAAATTAGTACTTCCTCCATTCCATAATATAAGGCACAACTACTTTTTTTTATGTTCCATAATATAAGGCATGTATACATGCACACAATTAATTAGGACCTCTTCTCCATTAGATTATTGCTTTTTTAAGTCCTCCACCCTCAAGATCTCTAATTCTATTGGATGCATGCATTATATTTATTAAGGTGATCCAAACTATGAGATAATAATAATTATTTCTTGATCTTTGGGTTAAGAGTGGTTGTGCCTTATATTTTGTAACGGAGGGAGTACTCCTTAACTACCCTTTGTCAACGAGGTGGCTAAGTTGTTGCTTGCTCAATAGTCAATACAGTTTGCAATCCATCTGGAAAATAAATATATAAATGGCGTTGACAAAGATCACAAGGGTTCATTCCCTCTGTGTGCTTAAATAGATGAGGTTTTAGGACGCGACCTTCAAGTTGATGTATGCAAAAAAAAATAATATGTGAAAATTCTTTTAGTAGTTTTCTCATGATAAATATTTTCACGCCGATGTATTTTAATCATTTACATGAAAGTGATCGGAATAAACAATTACTCCCTTCGTTTTTAATAGATAACATCGTTGACTTTTAAACATATGTCTAACTATTAGTTTTATTCAAAAATTTTATGTAAATATATAAGATATAAAAAGTAAATTGCACCCATGGTATAACAACTTGGTAGGTGGGTGCGATATAGTATAAGAACATGAGAATTGAACATCCGAGTACAACAACTTGACAAGTAGGCGCGTTCTAGTACAAGAACTTGATAATTTAGTATTTTGATGCATCAACTTAGCTAACATATGCTAGGTGATTTTTTTTTCACGATATCAATATGCAATTATATAGTAATCCTACGTATATTTATAATATTGGATTTAATCTTTAAGAATTATACTTCACATACAATTTACATTCAATTAACTTTTAAGATTTTTTTTTGTTTTCTTCACCTTCATAATAATATTTTTTTACATCCAGTTTAATTGATTTTTATTTATTAGTTATTAGGATAAAAATAAAAATATGCTTATACAAATACACGCCAATATATTGTCAAAATAAGTACTTAAAAATTGAATCTATAAAAAAATGCTCCAAATAATTAAGTTGCCGCATAACTTCTTAATTTATTGAATCAAAATCATATCTACCTTGTAAGTTATTACATTTATATGATCACTTATAAAGTTTTTATATTAAATTATACCTATCTGCCAAGTTGTTGCACTAGAACTTTCATTTCTCAAGTTCTTTCACCAAATTGCACCCATCTACCAAGTTGATGCACCGTCGGTGCAATTTACTGTAAATCATGCTTAAAGTACTTTGTGTGATAAAACAACTCACAAAAAAAACAATTGCATTAAAAAAATCAACGATGTCATTTATTAAAAAACCAGAGGTAGTATCAAATATACACTTGGAGACTGTCACAATGCCATTAACAACATGTAAAAGAGAATAATGGAAGGACTAAGGAGGATATTGTAAGACCAAATTGCAATTTGACTATCTGAATCATTATCTTTTTTTAAAAAAAAGTCCACTATGCCAGTTGCCACCCCGGAGGCACCGAGGGATAAGGGCTTGCATATTACACAATCGCTGGATGACTGGCTCCGCAATTTCAGAAAAGCTATATTGCGAGTTGGTCTTTTAATTACAACCAAGTTCAGAAAACTGCTTGTGCTTGAAAAAACTTTTCTGTAATGACAATGCACAGATAGCTTTATTCACACGACGCATGGAATTGAAGCTTCCTCTGCAATCAATTTCAGGTTTCAACAGAAGCTCAGCTGAGCCAACATGAAAGCTGGGAAATTTGAATTCAGTTTCCCCCAGAGGCTGATAATTTGGGTTCAAATTTCCCCTGATTAAGCTCCAATCCTCCTCCTTTTTTTTTCTTTTTTGTGGGTAGCTCCAAATTTCTTGTCAGCACCTCAGGGCCAAGATTTTCGGTAGCAGCTACAACTCCAAAATGGCTTCAAAACCGTCGAAACAGTAGATATAACTGCTCAAATTTATGTGCTATGTCAGCTCATATGGCCGACCATGATACTACATCTGTTTGATCTTACGAGAACAGCAAGAAATTAGAACCAGCATGCCTAGCAAATGTTTTTCTTTTTTGTTTTGTTTTGTTTACAAACTGTGTTGTACACACTTTTCTTTTTGCATGATATGCTATTGTAACACCGACCCAATCAGTACACAAACAGCGGAAATTTTGGAAATTATCTAGAAGAAGAACTAATCCGATACTGGACACTAGGACTCACGACTCCACCACTACACGAATGGTGCTTCCCCCCATAAATACATGGCAGGCATCTGCATCTCAATTCAAACAACAGGTTGATACCACATTGGTAGATTTACCATGCTGCTAAGGATTATGCGATGGTTAATTTGTTTCAGCAAATCAATGGCGAATAGCATTCAAAATTGGTGGATCAGCGTAGGGACCATAGAGCCACCCCTTGGCAACATATCGGTAGACAGCCTCCGTGTAGTGAATCCCGTCCCAGGACACTGATGCTGTTGGATTCTTGCAAGCGACCACTCCAGGCATGGCGCAGGTAGCGCTTGCGTTCCAGTTATACACGCCACCAGTGCCACAGCAAGCCTTGAGAACTCCATCGGCACCGAATCCTGCAGATGTAAATGTTCAGAGATAAGCCACTGCCTTAGTAAGGTCCTGTTTGGGGAGTTTAAGATTCTGAGAATTTACTGATTGGTAGCCAACTTCTGAGAATTTAGAGAAACTGGGTTTTTCAGCTTCTGGGTTCTAGTTAATTTATTTTTTGGATTCTACAACTACAGATTCTCAGAATCTGGGTTTCTCAGAATCTGGGTGACAATCTGAACTGTTTGGGGGAGCTAGAGATTCTAAGAGAAGCTGCAGCAGCTAGAAGCTCCCCCAAACAGACCCTAAGACTGACCATAATCCTTTCATAGTTTTGATTATAAAACGTTTGTATAAATTGGTTGACACTTTTTTATTAGAAAATGGGATAAACCCAGCCTCTGCATCCAATCAGATATACACAGCCAAAATCCTGGTTGATGTATGTAACTTAACAAAGCTAGAACACAGTATGTACCAAATCGGCGAGGTTCTTGGGTGACTCGAATGATGGGTTGGTAGAAGTCGGCGAAGATGATCTTGGCATGAGGGTACTTGCGCCTGAGCCTGACGAGAGCTGCGCGAAGCAGCGTGTTGTGCCTCTTGGCCACGCTGTTGATGGCACGCAGGCATCCGAGGCCATCGTAGTCCGTCCTGTTGGGGCTCACTCGTTGCGTGAAGTGCTGGTGCACACCCTGTTGGTGGGTTCCCCGGCACGACCACATAAACCGCGCCTTGGTTGATGAGACTCTGTGATGTGCAAATTAAGCTGCAGATTTAGAATGTGGCTTGACAAATATTGCTCATTTTTCTTATATTCAGAAGCAACTTTGCCATGGTGTGACAAAGAGATCAAACTTTTTTCTTGAAAACATAACAAACTCAAACCAAAGTAAAACTTCACGGTATTACACTGGAGATTTGCTCCAATCCAGCAAAAAATACCTCGAGGTACCGGTACCCTACAGTACCAAATCGTTTCTGATCGTTGGATCTAACAATGCCCATCCTGCTCAGCTAGATTCAATGATCTCAAACGATTTAGTACCGTGAGGTACCAGTACTTCGAGGTACTTTTTGCTGGATCGGTGCAAATCTCATTACACTGAGTGATGGGTGTACCTCCACTCCCATGGTGATTTTTTTCACGACTCGAGGCATGTATGATTCGACCTCGTGTTTGGCCTTCCCAGCCATCCACATGAAGTTGTAGTCGTTCACTCCAAACTCTCCAACGATAAATAGGGACTTACTGAAGCAGTTCTTGAAATCTGCAGTTTGTTGAAATCAATTTAAGCCCACTGCGAAGTAGATACAAATACTCATTGGTTATATCTTCTCTGAAGGCCAGAATGAATTCGATTATCTAAAAATAAAGATCAATGCTGATTATTGGCGCCTATGATTCAGACTACTCGCCATTTGCATCTTCTTTGGTTGTGTTGCAAATCGATGGCTTGAGCTCCTCGAACCAGCCAAGCTGCACATCAAGTGAACTGTTCAGAAGCTTAAATGCCACAATGTTGTTCCTCTGGAAGTAGTCGATGCCAGTCGCCGGCGCGCCACCGACGGCGAAGTTTACGCCATGGGAGACACTTGAGCTATTCGCTAGGGAGGCTGGAAGGAAAGGGAGACCAAATTCCTCGGCTAGAAAGCACAACAAAGAAAAGTTAGTACTGCTGAGTTGTACCATGTAATATGTAAGTAAATTGCTCTCATCGTCCTCGTCAACTTAATACTAGTACCTCCGTCCCAAAATATAACAATTTTTGGCTATGAATCTGGACACATAGTTGTCCAGATTCATAATTAACAATGCTTATATTTTGAGACAGAGGGAATACCTTCGTTTTGTAATATATGGTGTCGTTGACTTTTTGATAAATGTTTAACCATTCGTATTATTCAAAATTTTTGTGTACATATAAGAAAATTTAAGTCATGCTTAAAGAATATTTGACGATAAATCAAGTCATAATAAAATAAATGATAGTTATATTTTTTTAATAAGATGACTGATCAAACGTATCAAACAAAATAAAAAACATCATATATTAAAAAACGGAGGGAATAATATTTTGGACGAACTGGTTAGTACGTGCAACTCAATGGTGCACATAATTAACGAGCATGCAAGTTCACAATAGAATTCTGAATTCTCCTGGTATAATTTGCTAGAAGTATTTCTAGGAGTTAACTTGAAAGAATTGTTTGTGTAGCACCCTGAATCTTTGAACGTTACTCAAGAAAGCGTTTTAAGCCCCAAAGGACATACATCTTCGTGTGCATGTGGCCCAAATAGCTATTAAAAAATATGAAAAAAAATATACAGATTATGATGTCACATATTGATTCACAAACATGCTACTCCAAATTAATTAGATACTGGGAGTAGAAAAAATAACAATTCAAACCACAAAAGGTGTGTGTGATCGTGTTCACAGTTATTTTCTTTCAGTGTACATATATTGAATTTAATCTTGCGTGTTTGTTCATAGATGTATAATACAACAACCATGCTTCAATTCTTTTTTCCATATATTTTACATAATTGAGTGGGCCACATGCACGAAACAAGGGCATAAATACTCAACTTACCAATGAAATCGATAATGACTCTTCCATCACTTACGCGGCCAGTGGGATGACCAAAGAATGACATGCCGTAAGGAGGCTTGTCATTCCATACGGGCGCTACCGGAGTTGCCATGATGACGAAATTACCGGTGTCGATGTACGAGTCTCCAAGAGAAAACATCGAGATGAAAAAATGCGAGGTAGAGCTCATATGGGAGAGACAGAAGATGAAGGCAATGGAGAATACAAGCTTGAGCTCCATGATGCTACTTGCTAGAAAAAATTTGAGGAGAGAACACCAGAGACACATGAGAAGTTGAGGGGTTTGCAAGCCACTTATAATCACATGGAGATGATCATATGCTTTATAAAAGTAACACTGTTTAAGACTTGAGAAGTAGTAATACACGTTGTTTAAGTGATCAAGTCTTCAGGTACGATTTGACAACCGAGGTGATCCTTCTTATTGGTCAATCCAGAATATTGCAACCAAGCTGGAAAATATCAAAGACCATAAAGGTTATAATTGCAGGACGAAAGAATTGTGATGTTACAAAAATGCAAGTTGAGTCAATATTTGGGTAAAGATCCACTTGACCAACCCAGAGACGCTGTGAGATGATCACGGCTTCACCGTTACAGATGTGTTGGCTCCGCTTGTTATTGACGCCGTTTCAGAAAAGCTGCGTTGGTCTGAATTACAGACAATCTTCAGAAAACTGCTTGATTGATTAATGGTAGCTTGAAAGAAATTTTCTTTGGTAATGACATAGTACCGAGCGTCCTGGAATCTCAAGCCATCAATTATGGGATCCTAGCACACGCCGCCAGCTGTGCCAATCCCCACGGGCCTTTTTGTTTTTTGTTCACATTTTTTTTCCCGATCTTTTTTCTTTTCTTTTTTTTTTGCTGTTTCTTTCCATTTTTTTTCAATCTTTCGCACTCCTCTTTACAAAATATAAAATTGAAAATTTTTTATTTTCACTTGAAAGTTTTCAAATATTGACTTGAAAGTTTTCAAATTTTGTGTTGAAAGTTTTCAAATTTTGAGTTGAAAGTTTTTTAATTTGACTTGAAAGTTTTCAAATATAGGTTGAAAGTTTTAAATTTGAATTGAAAGTTTTTCAAATTTGAGATGAAAACTTGAAAGTTTTCAAAATTTGACTTCAAAAAATTTAAATTTCGAGTTGAAAGTTTTTAATTTTGTGTTGAAAGTTTTCAAATTTTGAGTTGAAAGTTTTAAAATTTTGAGTTGAAAGTTTTTAAATTTGAGTTGAAAGTTATCAAGTTTGACTTGAAAGTTTTCAAATCTAGGTTGAAAATTTAAAATTTGAGTTGAAGGTTTTCAAATTTGAGATTAAAAGTTGAAAGTTTTCAAATTTTGACTTCAAAAAATTTAAATTTTGAGTTAAAAGTTTTCAAATCTGAGCTGAGTTGGAAGTCTTAAACTATATTTGAACAAAATATGGTTGAACGCGGCGAAAAGAAAAAATCGGTACTAATTACTCCCAGAGCTAATCTTGTTTTCTAATATGGCGTAATTAAAAAGCGAAAGATCAAATTAATCACATCGATAATGACGTTTTCTAATAGGGATATACGCCATAATTACCAGAAGAAAAATCAAAACTAATCATGGTACTAGTCACGTTTTTTTCTCAGACTCCGGTTTTGACCACTGCGCTAACGACACGTGTACCAGGTGGACGTATGCGCGAGTTCGACATCTGGCGCGTATGCGCTAATTAGTTCTTTCCTCAATTATTGAAAACCACATCTTGTTCACATGAAAGAGTTGAAAATTTTGAAAAGACTGGTAGACTCAGGTCCTCAATACTGTCTCACTGTAGTCTACTAGTACTCCCTCTGTCCAAAAAAAAAAACAAACCCTGGTTTCCGTGCTCAACGTTTGACCGTCTGTCTTATTTGAAAAAAATATTAAAAAAATTTAAAAAGACAAGTCACGCATAAAATATTAATCATGTTTTATCATCTAACAACAATAAAAATATGAATTATAAAAAAATTTCATATAAGACGGACAGTCAAAATTGGACACGGAAACTCAAGGTTTGCCTTTTTTTGGGACGGAGGGAGTAGTAGTCTACTGCATGACTTGGATTGTCAGGTGAGCCAACCCAAAGATGAGAGTTTTAGGAAGCTGGGCAATTTGAATTGAGGCTTCCCCAGACCTCCAAAAATCTTATCCTCAGGGCTATGATTTACGAAGCAGCTAGATATCATTTATATTACTACCTCCGTCCCAAAATAAGTGCAGCCGTAGGAACCGTGTCCGACGTTTGACCGTTCGTCTTATTTAAAAAATTTATGAAATTTTTTTAAAAAAATAGTCACACATAAAGTACTATTTATGTTTTATCATCTAATAACAATAAAAATATAAATCATAAAAAAATTTTAAATAAGACGAATGGTCAAAAGTTGAACATGAACAGTGCAAAACTGTACTTATTTTGAGACGGAGGGAGTACTATGAAAGAGAGTAGTGGTGCCACCACAACTTTTGCACTATTTTTTAAAAAAATTAGTCCGTGATAAAAAAAAATCGCAGAACATATAGCTGCTCAAATTTCCATGCTGACTGGCATGATCAACTTTTTTTTTGGATTGCTATTGTACGTAATTCCCTCATCAATCAACTAATACTCATTGGTACTATAAGGGCGCTGGCAAGGAGGTACCCCTAGCATTTCCTTTCCCTTTTCTTTTCAAAGAGGGGTCAGTACTGTCGAAGTTATTACAAAGGTAACTTATACGATGATATACTTTACTGTTTGCTTGGGCCGAATTTGGGTCATAACCACATTCGTCAAAATATGGTTTTTTTTTTATAGAAACTTTGGCGTCAACCCATCGGTTTTCTGGTTTTTCTAATTTTTTCTTTGACAGCATCTGAAAGATTTACCCTTTGATTTACCAGAAGTAGAGGCGGTGTGAATTTGTTTTAGGTGTACTCCGATCCAGGTCCAGCCCAAAACGGCCCACGGAGCTCTGGTCTCCCTCTGAGGCACGGCTTCGTTCATCCCAGGCGTCACTACGCCACCAACCTGCCTGCCGCTGTCTTGCCCGCAGCCGGAGACAACAACATCCGCCATAGAAGCGGTTGCCTCCATGAAGCGTCCACGGACAGCCTGCCGGAGCTAGCTCATTTTAAAACGAAATATTAATAAAAAAAATTCAAACAATAATGTCCAACTACAGATTGATTGTACACACTGATATAGGCCGTGTTTAGTTCCTCCTCCAAATTTTTTTTAACGTATACGGATAATATTTTAAGTATTAAACGTAGACTAATAACAAAACAAATTACAGATTCCACCTGTAAACCGCGAGACGAATTTATTAAGGCTAATTAATCCGCCATTAACAAATATTTACTGTAGCACCACATTGTCAAATCATGGCGTATTAGGCTCAAAAGATTCGTCTCGCAATTTACATGCAAACTGTGCAACTGGTTTTTTTTCGTCCACATTAATACTCTATGCATGTGTCCAAACATTTGATGTGACGGAATTTTTGAAAGTTCGAAGGGAACTAATCACAGCCATAGATTACATTTACCATGCTGCTAGGATTAATCATGTCATGGTTTTTGCTCTCAACAAATCAGTGATGGTGGTGGATAGCAGTCAAAATTGGGGGATCAGCATAAGGACCATAGAGCCACCCCTTGGCAACGAACCGGTTGATGGCCTCCGTGTAGTGAATCCCATCCCAGGATATCGAGGCCGATGGATCCTTGCAAGCGACCACTCCAGGTAAGGCGCACGCGGAGCTGACGTTGAAGTTGTAGGTGCCACCGGTGCCGCAGCAAGCCTTGAGAAGGCCGTCGCTTGCGAACCCTGAATAATTAATATTGCAAATGTTGAGACAAATTAAACTCCGGTCACTATCTCAGTGATGCACACCGTAGAATTGTCATCGTGTTTGAGAACGAAAGCACAAACAATTCCTATAATCTTTGCCAATTTCGATGGGTAAACTATTTGTACTCCCTCCATCCCATAATATAAGGGATTTTGAGTTTTTGTTTGTACTGTTTGATCACTCGTCTTATTAAAAATATTGGAATTATTATTTATTTTTTTGACTTACTTTATTATCCAAAGTACTTTAAGCACAACTTTTCGTTTTTTATATTTGCACAAATTTTTTTGAATAAAACGAGTGGTCAAACAGTGCAAGCAAAAACTCAAAATCCTTTATATTATGGGACGGAGGGAGTATATCTTATGCATGATTGCGTACAAAAAATATATATACTACATATGTTTCGTATTATAAGTCATTTTGACTTTTTCTTAACTAACCTTTTTTGAGTTGAGCAATATTTTTAACATAAGACACATATTATTAAAACATATTTAATGTTACGTTTAATAAAACTCAATTTGTATTATAGATATTAAATTTTTCTATAAACTTGATCATACTTGAAGAGATTTGAGTAAAAAAAATCAAAACGACCTATAATATAAAACAGAGGTAATATATTGTATGAACTAGTTGGTGCATATTACTTTCAAGAAAGCTTGGAATGTAGCATACCGAAATGGCTAGGGTTCCGCATGACTTGGATGATGGGTTGGTAGAAGTCGGCGAAGATGATCTTGGCATGGGGATACTTGCCCCTAAGCCTACCGAGAGCTACACGGAGCATCATGTTATGGCGCTTGGCCACGCCGTTGAGGGCGCCAAGGCAGCCGAGGCCATCATAGTCTGTCCTGTTGGGGCTCATGAGGACAGTGAGAAGCGCCGGTGCGCACCCGTTTGGTGGATTCCCAGCCACCACCACGTAAATCGCGCCTTGGTTGATGAGCATCTGAATATTCATATTAAGATAGAATTATCTTTCTTTTGATTCCAACGATTGGAACTCGACTTTTCCAAGTCTTTAAAGTAATGAGAAGGGTAAAAGTTTTAGTAAATGACTGTGATGTCTTTGAAAAAAAAAGAAGGGTAAAAAAATTGAGTAAATGACCGTGATGTGTTTGAAAAAGAAGAGAGTAAAATGTGCTGGATACCTCCACGCCCATGGTGATTTTTCTCACGACTTGTGGCACATAAGACTCAACCTCTTGTTTGCTCTTCCCTGCCATCCACAGGAAGTCGTAATCGTTCACCCCAAACTCCCCAACGAAGAAAAGTGATTTACCAAAACAATTCTTGAACCCTGTAGAGACCGATCAGTTTTCTTGATACTCCCTCTCTATAATATAAGACGTGTACATATTCGAAGATTCAACTTTAAAAAAAAATGACTAGTAATTATTATAATATAAATTAAATTTTATTTGTTAAAATTAATATCATTGGAGTGACATTTAAATTTATTATTTGTTGCAATAAACCTTATAGTATATGAGAAATTTTAAGTCAAAGATTAGTTTTAAAGATTGTGACAAGTTTAACCATGCCTTATATTATGGGATGGGGGAAGTAATAATTTCCGATGATTGAGAAGATAATATATACATATTTTGTTCCCTATGGTTGAGAGAATTTTCGATGCCATCCACTTACCATTGGCTTGTTCAGTAGTGGTGTTGCAAATGGATGGCTTGAGCTGCTCGAACCAACCCAGCTGCACATCCAGAGAAGTGTTCAGAAGCTTGAACGACACAATATTGTTCCTCTCGAAGTAGTCAATGCCAGTCGCCAATGCGCCGCCGACGGCGAAGTTTACGCCATTGGAGACACTCGAGCTATTCGCCATGGAGGCTGGAAGGAGAGGGAGCTCAAACTCCTCGGCTACAAATTAACCATGCATGTCAACGAATAGTTAGAGCTTTAGTACCCAAACCAATCGTGCAAATACTTGCATGCAGGTACTGAATAGTTATCCTTTCGTAGCATATATAATTTTTAGGAAGTTAAGAGATTTCAGTCCTTCAGAGGAGTTATCTTTGCAGGGATTCATTTGTCTGTCCCACTCTCTAAATTAGTCTGAAGATTTGAAGATTATTCTGTCTTCAAATAATTGCAATTAATTCATGGTTTGCCTATGTGAAAAGAAAATCATGAAATGCCAAATTAGTTGATCATTACTCAACTTACCAATGAAATCAACGATGACTCTCCCATCACTCATGCGACCTGTGGGGTGGCCAAAGAAGGTCATGCCATAAGGAAGCTTGTCGTACCGCAATGGCAGACCGGAAGGTGCCATGATCACGAAGTTGCCGGTGTCGATGTACGAGTCTCCAAGGGAAAATATCGAGGTGAAATAGTGCGAGATAGAACTCGCACCAGAAATACAGAAGAGGAAGACGAGGAAGAATACAAGTTTGAGCTCCATGCTTAATTTGTTTGCTACCTGCTATAGAAATGGGAAGAAAACCAAAGATACACGAGAAGATGAGGACTACCTAGTTACTTATAACCGTATGGAGATATGCTTGGATGTATATAATCAATTGTTTAAGACATAAATTAGTAACATAGGTACGTAGCCCTTTGTCAAACTGAGGTGGCTGTTGTTGCTTGATCAATACAATTTTCAATCCATCTAAATATATCTATATATATATCGTCGTTGACAAAGAGCATAAGTTTTATTCCCTTTCCGTTCTTAATAAACTAGTAGTCGTACACATACAGTGCACGTTTTTATCATGATTGATTGTGCAAATATTACTAGTTGTGTCGAAGTAAGTCTTGGGAATAACATGACAAAGACTATATATGTTAGTTCATTTTCATTTTCATTTAATACGATGTTTTGCATAATTATTTAGGAGTGGCTTAAGAATAAAGATCCAGCTATAAATCTGAGCTATTGGATCAAGTAGAGGCAAATCTCCAGGATACGGTCCATCCAATATGTAGTTATTGCAACAATTTCAAATTTGTGCTTTCTATACTGGTAGTTATATATAGATCTAGCTAGATAAAAGAAATAGATAAAGATAGATGAGGCCTTAGAATGTTGACTTAACATCTTAACTCGTTGATATATGTAATAATTAAATTTTGATATGTAAAAAATACTATTAATAGATTTTTCATGAAAAATATTTCCTTGTTGTATTTTGAACTTTTCTTATGAATACATATATATACTGGATAAAAACATCGGTCAAGTATATTCTTAGGAGACTGTCAGAATGACATCAACAGCATGTAAAAAAAGAACGGAAGGATTGCGGTTGTAAGGCAGAAGATTTGTGATAACAATCATAAAGTGCAATTTGACTATTTGAGCCATTATTTGGTATAAAAGTCCACTTTGACACCCTGGATTCGCCGTGCTATCTTAAACGTCACAGAATGGCTGGATTTGCAATTCGATAGATGCCGTTTCAGAGAAGCTAGCTAGGTAGAGTTGGTCTTTAATTTAAGGCAAAATTGGTTATATAGCATCGAAAGTTCACGTTTTTGGTTTTATAGCACCGAAAGTTACCGGTTCACTTTAATAGCATCCAAAGTTCACCATATTCCCATTTTTAGCACTTCCGTCAATTTTTCCGTCCGTCTTGATGGTTATTGATCCAGCCACACACATGATATGACATTTCTACCCCTCATTGACATGCATTACACTTGTACTTGTGAGGGGTAGAAACGTCATATCGTGTGTGTGGCTGGATCAAGACGGACGGAAAACGATCGAGAATTGACGGAAGTGTTAAAAATGGGAACATGGTAAACTTTGGGTGCTATTAAAGTGAACCGGTAACTTTCGGTGCTATAAAACCAAAAACGTGAACTTTCGATGCTATATAACCAATTTTGCCTTAATTTAATTACATATAAACCGTGTTCGAAAACCGCTAACCACTTGATGGTTTCAAACTTTTAATGGTACGCCTTGAAAGAACTTAAGAACCTTTCTGTAAATTTTTTTTTACCGCGAAACAGTGGAGGAAGCCTCCACGGTGATTTTCATATATTAAGGGAAGAAAAAACTGTACAAAGTATGTTAAGAAAGAGCCTTTCTGCAATTACAATATACAGATAATCTTGGAATTCCAATCCATCAATTAATTTGGGCTCAAGATTATCAAATCTTCTTTTTTCGTCGGGCCGACGAAGACAGCCGGCCAAAGTATATTAATAGATAAAAGAGAAGCTGTACAACATGCCCCGACAACAGACACACGCTCGCAGTTCGTCAAAGCACCACCTTTACAAATTTATTTACAAGGGCTACGTCAAGTTCTCAACCATCTTATCAGCACCTCATGCCAAGATTTTTATAGCCGCTACAAATTCACAATGGTTTTAGAATTCACAAGATGGCAAAATTCAACACATCTCACAGCTATGCAGTAAACCCCTGATGGGCGTGCGCGTGCTCAGACCTATACGCACGTCTGTACTAGTATGTATGTATGTATATACAAACTTTGTATAACTACATAGTAGGGTTTGTTGGAACCATGCCACCCTAATTTTGCAAGATTTGATATATGCCACCCGTATCTCAATGACATGTAGGACCCATATGAGTTAATGACATGTGGGTCAGGGTGACATCACAAATTTTGCAAAATTTGTGTGTATATATAGTATATACGTATAAATTTTGTATATATACATAAAATGTTTGTATAAGAAATATTCGTATATGTATAATTTTGTTGTGTATGTATATATTTTTTATAGAGAAAATGTACATATAAATACAAATTTTATATACGTATAGTACAAACTTTGGTTAAAACGGGCCAACCCACATGATGAAAATGAAGAAAATTGGACAAGCCTGTATTTTATATCAAAAATGAAAAAATAAGGGTAAACGGGCTAAGCCCACACGATAGAAATGGACTAAGTCTGCATTTTATATATAAAGAAAAGAACGGTAACAGGCTGAAAACTGCATAATGGGCTCCCACGTGCAGGGAGCCGCGCAACTGACCGCTAATTAGCGATCCCCTATGCAGAAAGCCAGAAATAAGAATTGTTGAAACAATATACTCAAAAAAATATATCTGATTAAAATTTCATGTTAAGTCCAGCATGCTCAATATTGTTGTGGAATTCATTACAAAGGCAAAAACTAGAGGATGGTTATATGGTACTCAACTAATATACCACTCAATCTAACAGCAAGGTGACTTCCCCATGGTTAACGCAAGAGTTGGAGCAGTTACCCCACAGAACCCTTTAATCTGACCTGGCCAATTGTCAACAAAAAATGAATAGCCTTCAGCTTTCTTCACTCAACGTTTATCTTTTGCTTCTTCGTGTGCTCCTTGTTTTTCTTGGCCTCACGGCGCTCCCTCTTGAGCCCCTTGATGTCGTTTGATAAAGACATCTTTGCAATCTTTAACAGTCAAAACCATGAATCAGATTAGGATGTCAAAAGGCAAGTTCAACCTTTACAGCTGAAGGAAAAACAAAACAAACTCTTACCTGCTGGTCTGGAATGTAGACCTTGCCCAACTTGCCCTGCACAGGATCCTTCGTGACATTTTTCATCTGCGAGAAGGTCCATAGTAATTGTGAATACCATAGTGGTGACTGAAGGGTCTTTCTTAGCATGAACGCAAGAAAAGGAGCAATAGTTGCTTAGGCTAATGGCACCAAAGGTGCAATCTTATTAGCAACCTAGCAATAATGAAATGAACAAAGACAGTTAGTGATCAATTGGTTTTACCTTCTTAGCATGATCGGCAGTCTTCATTGCTTCCTTCTTCAAACTTTCAGCTGGATATCGGTGCCGCCTAACTACTAGGTCCATCGAAGGTCCAACTTCAACCAGCTCCATTCTAGGAATAGATGTGCCAGACCGTTTCAGACGGAGAGCACAGTGCATCAAGTAGACAGTGGTAGGGGATATTGCTGTGCACACAAATACCCGATCTACACCGGCAAGATTCAGATTCTCTACCACCTACATCAGTAGCAAACAGGTTATGCCAAAGCTCAATGTATTATCTATTCACAATGTGCAAATCGACAAATAAAAAAGATGCACACCTCTCCTCTGAAAAGATCAAGCAGCACTTCCTTCAAATGCTTCAGCTCTTCAACACTTTCAAAATGCTCCCCAATGAAGGTAAAGAAAGGCTTTGAGCCAAGCTTAGGTGCCAGTTTCTTATCATAGACATATGATTCAATTTATTTGTAGTTCTCAACTCCTACTTCAACAAGGTCATATATATGGTGATCATAAGTCCTTCCCAAAACAAGATTGTTGGGCCTCTTCTTTGAGTGAGAACCATACTGGAATAACAAGAACAACAAAAAGAAAGTTTACAGTCAAAACGGTACATAAACATAATCTCTTAAAACACATCACTTGGTTACTACCACATTTAAATAAAAATTATGGAACTACAAGCACTTGGAATAGGCACGGAGTAAGCTTCAGATAGGTTCCACGTAAGTGGTGTCAAGTTCATAGTTTAGTTCACAGTTTAGCTCCACCTCTCCTCGACACTACCAAATCGCTAGAAATAACAATAACAATCTATAATTGCAGATAGAATAAATTGAACTTACTACAATTAGGCTGCAATCCGTCTTGAGTGAGAAGAACTCAAGCGAAGTTTCGCCGCCGCTCTCGAACGGCCTGATGTTCTCATTCTTCTTGGAGTACCTGACGGCATTATCACGCTTCAGGTGGAACAAATCTGCGAGCACGGAGTTCAGCACCGCGCTGGTCTTGGTCCCATGGAGAACAAGCGTCTTCTTGCCGGTCTCAACCTGGTTCAATCAAAATCATCAGAGGAGAAAACTCAGGCCGGAATCTCACGGAGGAGCAGCGAGCGAGAGGGACGCTCACGAGCTTGGGCGCGTGCTTGAGGAGCTCCCTCTTGGCGCGGTGGCTCTTGGGCGCCCTGATCGCCACCATCTTCTTCTTCTTCTTCTCCGGCTCCGGTCGATCGATGCCGCCGCGACGGGGAGGTGGAGTCGGCGGCGAGCGGCGGCGCGGTCTTCTCTTGTGTCGCGGAAGGGGAGGGAAGAGATGGATGGACGGATGGGATTGGCGGGAGTCGGAGAGGTTGGACGGCTCAGATCGTTCGTAGTGCTCCTCCGAGATTGGCCTAATGTTCATGCGCCTTTTGGGCTTAGGTTTGTCAAAACTCGGCCCAATTTGCCACGAGACGGCCGGTCAGCCTGGTCCAGCACGAGATCGGACGGTCCACGTTGATATGGACTTGAATGTGTGTCTAGATTCATTAACATGTATATGAATGTGAGCAATGCTAGAAATTTTTATAATATGAATCGGAGAAAGTATTTTACAATGAAATTTGATAGTAATGATAAATGTGTTTCAACATACGTCGCACCTCTCAACTTTTTGAATATTTTTTTCATCACTACTTATATACTCCATATTTCATCTTGACACACAGAACAAGGATAAGTAATTCTACTTATCATATATTTAAATATGCTACTAGTCATTCCTCGTAAATAAGCGATTCATTAATATTTACATTTCTCGATGCCCATATAGCCAATCTTGTGTAGAAGAATGAAGAGTCGCATATTAAATCCGAGAAAATCATTAAGATAGGTTGTTGGATTGAAAATATGCCTATCAAAAATAAATTTTTCAGATTTAGAAATATAACTATCAAAAATATATGAAGGGAGTAGGTTGGAAGCATCCAGGCTGATTTAAACATTTAAGGTTTTAACTTTCAGTCAAATAGTCATGGAAAAAGTTGAAAACATTTTGAATGTTTGCTAATGGTGTTATTTATGGTTCTATAAAATTTTAGCTTAAAATATGGCAAATGCTATTAAGAAGTAAACCATTTTTAATAGTTTATAAGGGTTAAAATAAGCCAAAAAAATATTTTAGAAGGTTAAGTGATCAAAATGGAATAGTTTGAGTAGAATGAACTTTTTTTTTTACTATGGTTATTCATTGTTATTTAATTTTATCAATAATGATGACGTGGTAATAGCTAACGTTTCTCTTCCCTTCCACGTGGGACCCAGCGTGCAGGCCGCGCCGACCGAGGCGCGCACTAGCCGTTAACCCCCCCGCGCCGCCACCGACACCCAACGGTCGCCGGCGAGACTCTCCCTCCCTTTATTAACGCCTCCATCTCTCGCCCTCCACATCATCCCACTCTCTCTCACCCAACGAATTCCCTCGCAAATCCGTCCAAGTTCATCGACACAAGAAGCTCGAGCTCGCTGTGTGTGCTTGCAATGGCGGGGGTGCACACGCACAGGGCGTTCCTGCTCTGCAACTACCTCCTCCTCGGCGCCGCCTCGGGCTGCATCTTCCTCACGCTCTCCCTCCGCCTCCTCCCGTCCCCGTGCGGCCTCCTCCTCGTCTTCCTCCACGCCCTCACCGCCGTCCTCGCCGCCGCGGCCTGCTCGGGCTCCTTCACCGCCCCCGGCGGCGGCGGTGGCACGCACACGGCGCACACCGCGTCCGCCGTCCTCACCGCCATCTTCCAGGGTGCCGCCGCGCTGCTCGCCTTCACCCGCACCGGCGACTTCCTCGCCGAGCTGCGGTCCTACGTCCGGGAGGAGGACGGCGAGGTGATCCTCGAGCTCGTCGGCGGGCTCGGCGCCGCCATCTTCGTCCTCGAGTGGGCCGCTCTCGCCCTCGCGTTCGCGCTCCGCCTCGGCGACGACGGCGCCGACGGCGACGAACACGACGGCGGGTACGCCAAGAGCTGGCAATCAGGTTACCATGTCTGATCCATCGAGACTGATGAACAGAGAAGCATAAGAGAGGAATTCTTCGATTCTTCTTTTTTCTTTGTGTTTATTTACTGAATTCGTGCGGCTATTCAGCTGTGATTACAGTGTTGCTGCAATTTTTTTTTACTGCTCTCTTCTTGGCTTCTTGAACTAAAGAAGTGCAAGGCAAATGTATTGCTTTGCTGTGTAGTATTCGTTTTCCTTTACCGGATCTGGTATAAATTAGAGGAAATCATGTCATTCGCTTGAATGAAATTTGTCAAATTTCTCGTAAACAACCTTTGCGGGCAATGTTGGTATGATTTCTCAATAGAAATTTTGTCATTCAACCAAGGAAATTTCTTGTTACCATCCTTGTTAGTGAACAACCAACTTTAAAAGTTTAAAGTGGAGGAAATTTATAATTCACTTGAATGAAATTTGTAAAAAGAAGTGCGGTTTGGGCCGTTCGTCCATTAGTTGAGTACGTGGGCTCGGCCCATGAAACTGCTCCCCATCGGCGAATTTTTTGTATTTTTAGATTTTTTTTTTTTAATATTTACAGAAATATTATAGCGCCGAAAAAATTTGCAAAACTAGACCCTGCCGCCCTTCGCAAGGGCGGCAAGCCGACGTGGCACACGGCGCGCTGGACGGCGCGGGACGGCCGTCCTCCTGCCCCCTCCTGCCCTCTTGCCGCCCTGGCAAAGGGCGGCAGGACCCCCTTGCCGCCCTTACAGAAGGCGGCAGGCCTGGCCGCCTATAAAGCCCAGCCGGCTCCTTTGAGGAGCCCATTCCCTCCTAACCTCTCCACATCAAAAAAAAAAAAAAAAAGGAGAAGGGGAGGAGAAGAAAAGAAGAGGCGAAGCCCTGCCAGTTTCAAACTTCGATTTCAGGTAATATTCGTAGATTATATACGTGACTAAATATATGATAAATGCACTGTATGAAATAGAGTTTTACCTGTGGTACTATATAAATATATATTGTTAGATGTAGCCATGTAGGTAACTTAGTAGATCTGTAGTATTTGTAGTTATTAGGTTTGTAGTTTTAAATGTTGTTGAGTAACATTGCAATAGAATATATAAAAATTTAGGTACGTTGCAAAGAAGATATTACACTGTAGTCGTTTATTATGTAAAATAACGGCCTAGTAATTAACTTTGCAGATATGTCCAGTAAACTTATATTTCAACTATACCATGGTCAAGGAAACGTCCGTTATGGGCCAACTGGGGTAGATCTGTCAGAATTTATTGTAACAGCAAGGGGAATTGATAGGCCAGCCGAGAGGAGTGTACCTTCTATAAAAAAATGGTTGATGCGGGGCTTGGGAGTTGATCCACAGACTAGTGACATTACAATCTATGTTGTAGTAAGTCGGGCAACAGAGGGTTTTTATTGGGAACTAATGCCGGTTCAAAACTCTGGGATGTGGAGATGGTATGTGGAGAATGCATTGCAACGTGGGTGGCCTCTAGCTATGGTTCCGTATGTTCATCCGAAGGATCCAAGTGTACAGATGAACATGGATGATGGCGAGGGGCCAAGTGCAGAAGTGAATGAGATTGAAGTGGATCAGGTCAACGCACCAGAGGAAGATGGAGTAGCTCCAGTAGTAGCTCCAGTAGGCATGCAACCTGGTGGAGTGGCTGACGAGGGGGAGACTGTGGGTGCCATTGTGGACGAAATGGAAAAAGAGGATAGTGACAACGAGCGTGTCGAGGAAGATGATTCGTCAGATGATGACGAGAACAATATTAATCCAGCTGAATGGGCTAGTGATGATTTTTCTGGTTTGGTCATCTCTGAAGGGGAAAATGTGAGATGGGAGTACAAGGAAAACGAGATTATCGAGGGAGCGAGGTATGGTAATGGAGAAGACATGAAGGAGGCGGTGAAGCATTATGCAGTGTCACTTCATAGGGAGTTTTGGGTTGCCAAGTCTAACCGGACACAATATGAAGTTAGGTGTGTTAATGAAAAAGATGGGTGTCCGTGGAGAGTGCACGCCTATAAGGGGAAATGGAAGGACTACTGGACAGTGTCGGTCGTTACGAAACATACTTGTTATCTACCTGGTGTTCAAAAATACCACAGGAACATTACATGTGCATTTGTTGCATCTGAGATGTATGCGCATGTCGTGGACAATCTGGCATATGAACCGAAGTCAATAATCCGACATATCGAACAGACTTTCAAGTATACAATTAGCTATGCCAAGGCGTGGAGGGCCAAACAGAAAATAATAGAGATGAGATTTGGAACTTATGAAGCCTCATATGACAATTTGCCACGTCTGCTATCTGTTATCCAACAAAGAAACCCTGGGACCTCTTGTGCACTCAAGACATTCCCCTCAATTGAACATCCTGGCAAGACTGTGCTGCAAAGAGCGTTCTTAGCTCTACATGCATGCAAGATGGCATTCGTGCACTGTCGTCCAGTTCTTTGTATTGATGGCACATTTTTGACCGGGAAGTATCGGGGCCAGATACTAACGGCAATTGGGGTAGATGGGAACAATCAGGTATTGCCGTTGGCATTTGCTTTTGTCGAGAGCGAGAACACCGACAGCTGGTACTGGTTCCTCCATCTGGTTAAGACAGAAGTTGTTGGTATGAGGCCCAATGTGTGTCTAATACATGACAGGCACGCCGGTATGCTTCGAGCGATAGAAGAGTTAAAGTTTGGGACTATGGAAAGAGGATACCCTGGCCAGTGGGAAGATGTACAAAGCAGGTGGTGCATGCGTCATATGGGAGCTAATTTCTTCAAGCAATTTAAGAACAAGGAGTTGATGAACATGTTCAAGAGGCTATGCAATCAGAACCAGGAGAAAAAATTCAATGAGCTTTGGAAGAGATTAGATGAGTTGACAGGCAAATGTAGTGACCAGCGTGCAACAAGACCAGCGGCCGCTGTACCTGACCCTCCTCAAGCACTCGGAGCTCTCCCAACAGACAGTGTAACATTGGTTAGAAGAACTGGGGAGCAAATTCGAAAATTTTCTCAGTGGATTGAGAATGAGCCAAAAGAGAAATGGGCTAAGACTTATGACACAGGTGGTGCTAGATATGGTATAATGACAACAAATTTGGCGGAAGTTTACAACTGGGTGATGCGCGGTGTCCGTGGACTCCCACTAGTTGGTATAGTGGAGTTCATTTTACATGGGACATGCAAGTATTTCAGGGAGCGGTTCCAAGCAGTTTTTCCCTCTATGCCGAACAACAACATTTTATTTGGAACTTTCATGGAGAAAAAACTAGCGGAGTGGCGTGCAAAGGCCATGAAACATCGAGCTCTAGTGCAAGGTACCCAACAACACAGGTTTGAGGTACTCTGCCAAGACAAGGCAGGCAGGGGTATCTACCGCAAGAGAGTAAAGCAGGAGTGCGTTCTCAAAGACGACGGCACATGTCACTGCTCCTGTAGAAAGCCGACGCTGCTCCACAGGCCATGCACCCATGTCATTTCCGCGGCATCTGAGTGTGGCATCCAAGATGCAGTATATGTGTCACAATACTTCTCCAAGCAAGCAATATATCACACATGGAGTGGCGAGATTTTTGGCTTCGGTGTAGCTGGGGAGTTCACAAAGATTAACGATCTGATAATCTATATTCCTGACCCAACGAAACTCCGAGACAAGGCGGGACGGAGGAAGACTCGGCGCATCCGCAACGATATGGATGAGTCGGAGGCAGGCAGGGTGAAGCGGTGCAGCAAATGCGATGAACGTGGCCACACCTACAAGTATTGTCCTAAAGACAAGGAAAAACCAAGTGCGGCGGAGGCAGGTCTATCAGGATCAGCAGCAGATGGAGCTCGCCCTACGGGTGAAGGCACTACTTCAAGGCGACCCCGTCCTAGACGTTCTCGTGGAACGACCGGTTACGTGGTGTAGTTCGTGTGTTGTATGTTGGCAAAAGGCTTTGCTTGTAATTTCGTTCGAACTTATCGATATGTTCGCATTGTGTTGTGTTGCGAACCACTTGTTAGACTTCCGCATGTAATGTCTTTATGTTTTACGGCTTGTAATTTTGTTTTATGTTATTTCATTCTCGTTACGTGCCTTTGTGTAACGAAAGTTATGTTCTCAATAATCTGCACTCTTGCATGTCTCTATAAGTATTCTTCCGTTTCAGATAACTTGTTTTTACAATTATATTATTACCTTCTTATTTACCCTAACATGTAACACGTTACTTGCAGAGATGGCACATCCTGAGTTGTTGGATCCGGCGATAGATCAGCGCCACCGGTCGTACCTTACTGCGGTGGAGGGGGCTCAGCTTGGGACGTTCCGTCCACGGTCGTCACGTGAGCGACTTTTGGTTCACGACTCCTTCGTCGAGAGGTATGGTTTTACTGTGTTCACGACACCGGGCTTACCTTACTACGGTGGAGGGGGCTTAGCAATGTGTTCATTTTAACGTCTGGTATTATTTCGCTTTCGCAGGTTGCGTGAGGCCGGTCTCTTACCGTTGGCTCGGCTAGTTGAGGCCGCGACCGGCGACGACGACGTGACGAGACGTTGGGACCCGGACAGGTCCCTCCTAGCAGCGTTGGTCGACCGGTGGAGGCCGGAGACGCACACTTTTCACCTGCCGTGCGGTGAGGTAGCCCCTACCCTGCAGGATGTCTCTTACTTGTTGGGGCTACCGCTCGCGGGAGACGCTGTCGGGCCAGTTGACATGGGTGTCGACTGGAAGGACGAGCTGACGGCACGTTTCGCACCCGTGCAGCGCCTACCAGGTCTACCGCTCGAGCCGTTGCAGCAGCACCGCAACACCGGGCCTACGAAGAGGTGGCTGCTTCAGTTCACTGTAAGTTCTTTCTACCTAAACTGACGTGTATTATGTACGTAACTTGTAAAGTGCCTAACATTTCATCCAACGCTTGCAGGTTGACCAGCTACCGGAGGAGGCCGACGAGTACTCCTTCAGCCGTTGTTTGGAGGCGTACTTGTTGTGGCTTTTTGGGTGGGTGATGTTCTGTGGTAGTCACGGACACTCGGTCGACCGGGGTCTCGTGCACTACGCCAGGAGCATCGCCGACGCCGCGGTCGGTGAGGTGCCTCAGTGGAGTTGGGGCTCCGCGTTGCTGGCGGCTCAGTACCGTGGCCTCTGCGAGGCTTGTACCAGGACGGACCCTGGCGCGATCTTCGGTGGGTGCCCTCTCTTCATTTCTCTTTGGGCGGCTGAGAGGATTGCGATCGGCCGCCCCCTTGTGGAGCACCACCCTTACGACGCGTCGCTGTACGAGAACAGACCGGCGGTCGACTACCCAACGATGGGTACTCTGTGGTGCCGGCGTCAGGTACGTCGCTAGTATTTGGTAATGTTGTCCTACTATTGTTAACTTCATCCTACGTCACACTGACCTTATTGTATTGCAGCGCCGATGGGCTCACGTGCAGGTTAGGCGGTCGTACGCGGAGTTTGTGATGGAGTTCGACCGCCTTCTGCCGACGGACGTAGTGTGGGAGCCCTACAGTGCCTTGCTTACCCACAGTCGGGCGCCGCTAGGCCTGTCCACACTCTGCACGAGGGACCAGGCGTACTGGATGACTACGGTTCCGATGGTGTTCGACATCTGTGTCGAGCCGCACGCACCTTACCGCGTGATGCGGCAGTTCGGCTTCCGTCAGTCCTTTCCAGTCCCGTTTCCGGCGGGCGTCACGGCTGCCGTTCACCGGTAAGCCGTTTTACTACGATTTAATATGTTGCATTAACATCGGGCTGTCCATAATAATTTGCTTTGTTTGTCGTTTGCCCTAATACAATACATTAATTTGCAGGTACTCGCGCAAGGGTCAGCACTCAGCTGGTCACTGGCCTGCCAAGTTGGGGCCTTTTCTCGACGACTGGTTGCTTGCTACCGAGGAGGTCGTGGACCACGCGGGAGAGCCACACACGGAGGAGGGGTATGAGGCGTACCTACGTTGGTATCAGCCACACACCCGTACTAGAGTCACCTACGCTCCGACGGAGCAACAGGCCCACGCCGCGAGCGCCAGAGACCTCTACGCCAGGCACCGCGACCAGGACTTCGCTCGTGCGGTGAGTACCTTGCATCGCACCATCGTCTCATCATCCTTTCTGTTGGACAAAGGCTACGAATATTTACGTTGTAATTAACCGTGCAGGCCGTTGAGTGCAACAGGGTCGTCGTTGATGCTACAACGGCGATCCAACGGTTAGGCGCGGGGATTGAGGTGGGGGCAGACGAGCACCTGTCGACGTACACGCGGATACGGGACTCGATGCGCTCGGTTCTCCGTGCGCTGACCTGTCGTGCTGCCGACGTTGCTCAGGCAGACGCAGCACCACAGGTGCGTCCCCGACCGACTGCTCCTCGTCCAGCTGCGCACGTTCCTACGCCGACACCCCCTCCCTTCGGAGGTACGTATATTCAAGGTCTATTTGTACATCATCAATCAATTGATACTCAATTTATGTGTAAGCTTACAAGTGTCGCGTCGTCGATGTGTAGGCTTCGCTCAGCCTGGGACGACGCCGGGCGCCCACTCCTGGCAGGCTGCGGGGTCATCGTCACAGGCAGGTGTGTCGGCCTCGCTGTCTGCGCAGTTCTGGCAGGACGCCGGGACTTCGTCACAGCCGCCCGGCACGTCTTGGCAGGGTCCTACCGGGACTTCGTCCGAGCACGGGTGGGCTTCCGCCACGCACTTCGACATTAGTGACTTCGACTTCCCGGACATTATCGGTCCCTCACAGCTTGGAGGCGCACCGCCGGTGCACACGCAGGAGCAGTCGCCCTCCACCCCACTCCCAGACCCTCGCGCTACCCGTGCTGTCCCACCGGATCGCTTCACGTACTCCCAGGACCACGTGCGAGCACAGGCCCGGAGGACCAAGCGGGGTCGCGGCGCGAGTCACGGCCAGTAGAGCAGACATCTCTTTATTTTTCTTTACATTCTTGTACTATATGGTTGTAAACTGAATATGTTGTTGTTTATATTCGGGACTCGCATTCCTACACTTCGCTGTTACGTTTTCCAAAAACAGGAGTCCTTTCCAGCCGTTGTGCAGAGAGGAAGCTGCCGCCCTTGCAGAGGGCGGCAAGCCCTCGGCTCCCCGCGGCCCGTGCGCGCCGTCAAGACGCACACGGCGCCGTGTGCCACGTCGGCTTGCCGCCCTTGCGAAGGGCGGCAGGGTCTAGTTTTGCAAATTTTTTCGGCGCTATAATATTTCTGTAAATATTAAAAAAAAAAATCTAAAAACAAAAAAAACTCCCCCATCGGCTCCTACAAAAATCCACCTCCTCGCCGCCGCCGCCCTTCCATTGCTAGGATTTACAGCTGCAGAGCAGGTTGCCTCCTCCCCTCGCCGCCATGGTAAGAGCTTCTCCTCCTCCTACTTCAGCCGCATCTAAGTTATTAGATCTCCTTTCAGTTCGTGTAGTTTTATTAGCTTGGAGTAGATCTAGCAAGTTTGCTTTCAGTTCGTGTAGTTTTATTAGCTTGGAGTAGATCTAGCAAGTTTGAGTAGTTTAAAATGTCACCAGAGTTGATGATTTCGTGAGAAATACAATGGATTCAGTTGAGGATTTGAAGATAAATTCTCAATAGATGTTTGATAGTATGATGTTATGTTAAACGTAGCAGCTTCACATCGGTTTTTTTTTTGTACTGATGTGATTGTAGTATATTTGATGATATTGCATTCCTGAAGTGAAATCATGGCACGCTGGTTAAATAGCCTAATTTATTTCCAAGTAGCCTAATTTATTTCCAATACTATGATTAGCTGCAAGTTTGGGCCTCTTATTCCTTTTATTTTCATATAGCCGAAGCAAATCCATGAGATCAAGGACTTCCTTCTCACAGCGAGGAGGAAGGATGCCCGCTCCGTGAGGATCAAGAGGAGCAAGGATGCCGTCAAGTTCAAGGTGCGCTGCTCCAGGTACCTCTACACGCTGTGTGTACATGACACTGACAAGGCCAACAAGCTGAAGCAGTCTCTCCCCCCAGGTATGCAGACGGGTTCAACCCAGTCTGATCTGGAATCATTTCTTTTGTTTCTAAATGTCTCCATTGTATGGTTTAAATCTGGATGGAACGAGATGCAAGTCTACTACAAATTCAGTGAAGATGTTTACCTAGACATTTTATATATAGCATGGCATAGGCTGTGAAAGCAGTTATCATTCCTATAAATATTGTAGAAGAAAAAAACTGTTATGGAATAGAACATCCTGACCCTTTTTCAGTGTTGTAGTGCATTTCAATTTGTTTTCTTGTAACACTTGTAAAATCCAGATTGCACTAATATATCTGCGCTTTTCTTCCCTATGATTACATTAGATTAGATTAGATATGCTGTTTCAAGCAGAAATCCAAATGTAACATGCTTTTTTGGACACCATTTGAGCTAGATATCCATGCCCTCGAGTAGATAACATTACTGTTAGCTAAAATCTTGCTTGTGTCTTTTTCCTTATGTGCATTATTACTACATTTAGCTCGACTGTATCTCTGGAACTTTTCAGAGAACTGAAATATGCTTGTATCTCTTGCAGGCTTGACCGTTCAGGAGGTTTAAGCATTCGAGACAACAAAGAAAATGGTTCTGTAGACAACTTCTGGGTTTTTCTTGTTTAATTTGGACCCTCGTGGTTGGAAGGAATTGACTGATACGCCTCCGTTTGATATTACAAATGTATTAGTGATGGTCCATGACTTTGCTTCTCATGAAAAATTTGAGATAGTGTAAGGTTGTTTTGTTTTTTCTCAGTGCAATCTTTGGCAGTTGCTACCTTCCATCTGTTGATGTGTGGATAGTTCATAGTAGTATGCTATTGTAACTTACTACTAGTAATACAGTACGTACGTAGTATGTTGTTATGTTTGACTATTTGATGTACTTTTTTTTATAAAGTTATTAAATATGTGCATCAATATTATTAAATTGGTAAAATTTTGGTATTGTCAAAATTTGGTAAGGTTTATTTTGGCTAAAATGTGACTTGCGCCTGTTTGTCAGACTGATCTTAAGCTACAGTATTCTGACATGGAGGATGCCAAGACACGTGGAACTGGTGACGTGGCATTCTCCCAGTGGCTACGAGAGAGGTACGGCGAGCTGTGATTGGCTCACCAGAGGTGGACAGTGAATTTGTCACACTTTTGTTCATTTATTTAGTGGGCTGTTTGACGCGGTCGTCGGGGCCCAGTCATGTGGGGCCCATCTGTCAGCTGTGGGCCTGGAAAGTCATGGTCCACCGTGGACTTCTCCAAGTCCACGTCTTCGTGCGACGTCGCCCTCCATCTGGCCGGTCCACCACGGAAGACCGACCCGAATCCCGCAAATGGCCTTCTCCTTTAGCTAAAACCACAAGACTGCCATTCTCTACGAAAAGGCTTGCAAAACGGTGAGTGGCATAGGCTGTAAATAGTTCTGATTTTTGAGGTTATTTCGGGCGTCAGTTGGCCTACAAATATTCCAGCGTCGCACTGGGAAAGCAGCAGTGAAGCGTACAGCCGAGCTACCACCACTCTCCGGCGCCGGCGAGCGGCGGACACGGCGACGGCGATGGGTCGCCTCCGCCGCGGCGGGGTCGGTCTCCTGCGTGGTGCCGTGGTGCTCGCGTCCCTTCTCCTCGTCGTCTCCGGCGAAGTCATCTTCGAGGAGCGATTCGATGGTACTGTGTACTACTGTTCCTGTACAAATCTCATTTGGTCTCGTTATCTGTTTTAGCTGTGTTGAACTGGAACGCTCAATTGATTATTACTGCCGCTTACTGTCTCCTCTACTGCTTATACTAGCTGTTGCTTTCAAATCGAGTTGAATATTTGATTGGATGCATGGGAAGCATTTCCTACCTGTAAATGTTATTCTGCTTCCGTGTTGATACTTTCTTGGTACTGAACTACTTATTGCTGCTTTCATGTTGCCGTTCTTGCTTGTTACAATTGATAAACTCAAAAAAATATATATCTGTTTGTGCCCTTTGGTCAGAGGAAGCTGTGATTATTGTTAAACTCAGAGAGTTTGAGCTAACCAACGGTGCAATGTTTTTCACGTTTAGATGATTGGGGAAGCAGATGGGTGAAATCTGACTGGAAAAAGAGCGAAGGGAAAGCCGGGACATTCAAACATACAGCAGGGAGCTATTCTGGAGATCCTGACGATAGAGGTGAGGGCCTGATTTGGTGCTACTTTCATTACAATTAGCATACTTCATTTATCAAATTAGCACTTCAAAATTCAGTCCTCATGTTTCAACTGTCAAGCCATACGATTAGAGCCTTATTTGTGCTATGAATTATGTCATGAATCATGTTGGTAATCTGTGTTGAAACCATGTTAGGTATACAAACAACCTCGGATGCTAAGCATTTTGCTATATCGGCCAAGTTCCCAGAATTCAGTAACAAGAACCGGACATTGGTGGTTCAGTATTCGATAAAGATTGAGCAGGATATTGAATGTGGTGGTGCTTATATCAAGCTTATGTCTGGCTATGTGAATCAGAAGAAATTTGGCGGTGACACTCCTTATAGGTAAATTTGGCTCCCTGTTTTTGATCTGCAAAAAGCTAATGATGCTATTTCTGAATTTGGTCTACACATTGACTCTAAAAGTTCTAACAAGGGCCATATAAAAGATTTTGTATGTGCAAAAGATAAAAAGCTTGAATGCAAATATGCAATTTGTTGAATAGTGAGTAAACCAGAATGTTAAGCCTTAACAGCTAAGCTGGTTTGGTTTACCACAAAAACCTAATAACCCATCCTTACAGTAAAATGGGTTACTATCTTACTAGTATTAAGTACTTGCTAGCCAAATATTGGTTGGTGGATATAGAATGTACCAATTACTTTCCGGTCCTCATGTTTTTTAGATAATGATCCGGTTGTCATTGTCTCATTGTGTTCCTCACTGAACTATTATTGTGTTTTCGTTCTGTCTAATCCTCTTCTGAGTTGCATCTGCTAACATCATGATGTTTACTTTTGCAGCTTCATGTTTGGGCCTGATATATGTGGTGATCAGACAAAGAAACTCCATCTGATACTGTCTTACCAAGGGCAAAACTACCCTATAAAGAAAGATCTGAAATGTGAAACTGACAAGTTGACACATTTTTACACATTCATTCTTAGGCCAGATGCCTCTTATAGTCTACTTGTTGATAACCGGGAGAGAGAATTTGGTAGTATGTACACTGACTGGGACATCCTCCCTCCTCGCAAGATCAAAGAATCTAATGCGAAGAAGGTTTGGGATCTGCAGCATGATTCAGAGAGATGTTATTGTGAGGAATTTCAACAAAAGCTTCTCTTATATTTGTCTTCTCTTGCAGCCAAAAGATTGGGATGACAGGGAATATATTGAAGATCCTGATGAAGTTAAACCAGAGGTTTGCAATTTCATATTTGTTATACATTGATAATACAAATAAAGAACGTTATGTAATCTTTTACCTTAATTTTCCAGGGCTATGACTCTATTCCTAAAGAGATTCCTGATCCAAAGGACAAAAAGGTTTGCACTTAAGAATTACGCTGTAAATCCAGCTTCTAATATTTTCGCATTTAATTGGCATATCCGTTTATAATGGACATAGTGTCATATGTTCTTAATATTATGAGAAGAACCCGAGTGCAGACAAAGGTTCCATTTTACCTGTTCAAGCTTGTTTCATTAGAAACATCCTATGGCATGTTAGCATTTTCTATCTGCTATTAGCTATATTGAACCCAGCATGACCTCAATGGCTCTTATGGTGTGTTTGCTAAGTTAATAAATATAACACAGGATGACATATGTTTTCCTTTCTACACTAAATCAGCCTGAGTCATGGGATGATGATGATGATGGTGTATGGAAGCCTAGAATGATACCGAATCCAGAATACAAGGGACGTTGGAAACGCAAGGTTTGTTTTATTGACTGATTAGCTCCTCATTGCCACATTTTGTAGCATTTTTTTAACATGCTTCTGTACGCAGAAAATTAAGAACCCTAACTACAAGGGAAAATGGAAGATCCCATGGATTGATAATCCAGGTGAGAAATGATGGGCTTTTTTTTTTTAACAGTACTATGTTAGCGTTTTTCATTTCTTGCTGCATATCTGACTTAGAGCTGGACCTCACCTCCTTCCAAATTTGAAGTGAATATTAAGTGATGTATATGCATCTTTCACAGAATTTGAGGACGACCCAGACCTATATGTGCTGAAACCTTTGCAGTATGTGGGAATTGAGGTTTGGCAGGTATTATATTTCTTGGTTAAATATGCTTGTTCTGTTGGAATGCTGCTTCTAGGCTGTGTCAAACGACACAGTCCTTTACATGAATGGCATAAATGCTATGTAAGCTAACATTCCAGGTGGTATGCAGGTGAAAGCTGGTTCAGTTTTTGACAACATTTTGATTTGTGACGACCCGGAGTATGCAAGAAGTGTTGTTGATGAAGTTAGGGCTGCAAATAAAGAGGTAGGCTCACCTGGAATAACAACACAGAACGCATATTTGTAAATTTATCCATGCCATTAGTTTCATGTCATGGAAACCCCCATTTCAATATATTTTTCTGTGTTGTAGGCTGAAAAGGAGGCCTTCGAGGAGGCTGAAAAGCGGAGGAAGGCTAGAGAAGACGAGGTTTGTGATTGCTTTTAGTTCACTGGTTACTCTTCTGTTTGTTCATTATTATGAAGAGTTGGGTCTTGTGACTCAGCAATTCCAGTTCATAGGGAAGCTAACAGATGCTTCTTTTCCACAGGAGGCTCGGCGTGCACGAGAGGAAGGAGAGAAACGAAGAAGAGACAGGGATCGGCACCGAGGCAGGGACCGTTACAGGGATAGATATAGAGTACATTTCTTCTCCCTGCTATCATGTGGAATACTTTCTTCCTTCTACAATTCAGCTGGTCTTTTTACTCCTTTCAGAGAGGGGTTGCCTCTAATATATCAAACACCGACCATAATAATCTATCAAAAATTTTAGCTTGTATCTGCTTGCTTTAGGATATAACAGGAAAATCTATAGCTGTATTAAAATTTACAAAGATCAGGTAAAAGATAGGTAGCAAGAAAAAAAAGTAATAGACATTCTGTCAGCAAAACATGTAAGAATTCTAGACATCATCACTGTGGAGACATGTAGAGGTAGTGTGCGTGCTAACCACTAACTGCCATATACATGTACAATTTGCTAATGCTGATGCATAGGCTAGTATCAGTAATATGACACCGGTTGATGGCCATCACAACTGACATCTTATTTTGTTTCTCTACATTTGCAGGGTCATCATCGTAGGTATGACTACCATGTAAGTTACAAAACTTCTCCATTTGCTTGTATCTCTAGAACTGCCAAAGGTACAGGAGAAACAGTTCAGTAACATTTTCAATCTGTTGGTTTCATATTCAGGACGAGCTATGAGGTCTCCAGATTATCCCATTCTTTCAAGGAACTTCAGGAAGTTAGTGTTGCCCATCGACTATTTCATCACCCAATTGATGATTGTACCAATAAAATAGAACATGTTATTTCGAGGACAGAACAAAGCTTTATTTCAGGTGTGGATAGCACACTACAACACGAACTGATGCTGTTCACCTGAAACCAAGTAACAAACTGAAGATGTGAAAGCTAGAACGTACATTTTTGGGCAGTAACAATATGCTAGCGAAGAGGACGATATGTTTCCATCTTCCAGTAATATTTCTCCTTATTAGTGCCTTAGAACATAGAAAATAAATCACTCTAGGTTGTGAAATATAAACTGTACTTTCATTGTACTTCAGTTATATATATCTGGCAGTGTGTGTTACTAATGTTCAGAGAGTAATGTTTTCCTTTCTTCTATCGTCTGTTTGGTGTGGCACTAAAGTGAAGTGCTTGCTACCTAGCAACTCCCCAAGTTGCCCATAAATAAGTTAGCTGCTGCTACTCCGCTACTAGAAAACTGTAAAACCCCTGGCAATCTCCTTCCTCTGTCCATGAGAAAGCAGAGTCAGATAGTGTAGAAGTCGAACGCTGTCTCGGCGCTTCGACGACGCGAATGCTTTTGAGAATGGGATGCATGAGGAACGCGAACGCAAGCTGCAGAGTTGGCGGCCGATATGCTACGGTTGCAACGCCATATAGTTCTTCACGCCAGTAACCTAGCGTATCACAGTCCATCAGTCTGAGGTCGAGATTAGAGGTGTAAGTGGGTCAGCCGCGAACCTATTTATAGATCAAAATAAGCGGGCTCGCGGCTTATTTTAGTCTATAAATAGGTTTCGCGGGTTAGCCACTTACACCCCTACCCGAGATCAGCTCGATTGGTAAGATTTCGAGGAGAGCTTACCAAATGATCTCAACCATCACCGAACAACACACTGATTGTAGGTGCACCCGGGTGACTGACAGTCTAGAGAGGGATCCAGCAGCTAGGGATCCAGCAGCTACATAACCCGCTGTTATTGTGTTAAAGGGTAGAACATTGTACGCCGTTGCTCCAACCATGCGATTAGGGATGAAACTGGTTTGGATAGTTTCCGTCCGTCCGGACCATTTTTCGGATTCGGATAGTTTCGATCGGAATTATCCGGAAATTCTCGGATTCGGAAACGAATTCGGATATTTTTTCTCGGAAACGAAAACGAATACAGTAAGGAAACTATCCTTCGAAATCGGAAAACAGTCGGAAACTATCCGGAATTTGTTTCGGATATCCGCAGACATTGAGCAAATTATATAAAAAACATGTCTATATACATAACCTTTTCATACGGAATCAGATGAAGACAAACTTTATATCAACATTGTAGAGCTCGATGAGATCTACAACTTTATTATTGACTATTTTATTATTTGAGGTCATTTATGGGTCTAAATATTCATTATAATATACCATATTAATTTTTACGAAATCTCAGATCTACAATTCAACGACATCTGATGGAGATGTGTTCCATATCAAAGTTATAGAGCTCAACGGGATCTACCACTTTGTAGTTTATAACATTTGTATTTGAAAGCATTTAAAATATAATACAAACATTACAAGTTTCGAAGATGTGAAGTAAAATAAATAAAATCTCTAATTTATACAATGGTAAGTAAGTTATACATGTAGTAAAAGGTCTTGGGAATAGAAAATGATAATCATATTTGCATATGGATCTCTTAGAGGAACAACCATGAAAATTGATTTTCACATACGGTTGTGGGACCGTCTATAAAATTAACGATATAAATGTTGGAGATATTGAACTAAAATAATAAACGATATCTCTTCCTTGATCAAGAAACTCAATTTGAGGGGTTTTTTATATACCGGTAAATATTCGCTACCGTATTCGTTCCGTCTCGTATTCGCTCCGTATCTATATTCGATAATATTCGATTTCATTTCCGTATCCAAGTTTTCGATTCCGATTCCGATTTCGAAAAAAAAAATGAAAACGAATATGATAAAGCTAGTTTCCGTCCGTTTCCAATCCGTTTTTATCCCTGCATGTGATGCTTTGAGAATGGGATGCACGTGGAATTTGCGTTGGGCGATCGAGAAACCCTGGAAGTCGATACGCTCCGGTTACAGCAACATGGATCCATTCGTTCTGTGCGTGATAAGCATACGACCTTACGATTTGACAGTTCATCAGTGCAGCGCGTGTACTCCAGGCGGTCTGGCCGTTTTGCCTCAGGACTTGTTAAGTTCCTAATTTTTTTTCCAAAAACGTCACATCGAATCTTTAGACACATGTATGGAGCATTAAATATATAGATGATAAAAAAACTAATTGCACACTTTGCATAGAAATCGCGAGACGAATCTTTTGAGCCTAATTAGTCCATGATTAGTCATAAGTGCTATAGTAACCCACATACGCTAATGATAGATTAATTAGGCTTAATAAATTTGTCTCGCGGTTTCCAGGCGAGTTATGAAATTAGTTTTTTCATTTGTGTCCGAAAACCCCTTCATACATCCAGTCAAACGTCCGATGTGACACACAAAAATTTTCTTTTTGCGAACTAATCACACCCTCAGACGATTGATCATCGATTCTCGAGCTGAAAAATGAAAAATAAAAGTTTGATGGAACCTGAAAAGTGAAAAAGAATGTACGTTGTTTTAAGGAAAAAGTACGAATTACTTCCTAAACTATCACGTTCGATTGAATTATCTCCCGAACCATGCATGAAAGCAGATATCCTTCACCCCCAACTATACAAACCGCACAAATAACTCTCACCTCCACCCCCCACTCTCCTCGGGGCTCAATCCGCGGTGGTTTTGGTTCTACGTGACAGTCCAGTCAGCAATTTTTTATTAAAAAAATTGATAGACCCCGCCTATCAGTTTCGCACCTGATCTCTATTTCTCTCATTTTTATCTCTTTCCCTAATCCACTCTCTTCTCCCTCCCCTCACCTAGCTCCATCACTCACCGACGGCGGTGAGTGACAATACATTTTCAGGCAGTAACAATACGCTAGCGAAGAGGACGATACTTTTCCACCTTCCAGCAATATTTCTCCCTAGTGCCTTAGAACATAGAAAATAAATCACTCTAGGTTGTGAAATACAAACTGTACTTCCGTTATAGTTCGGTTATATATATATGTGACAATATGTGCTACTAATGTTTAGATAGTAAACAATTTCCTTTCTTCTCTTGTTGTGTGTCACTCGTAATGAAGTGAAATGCTACCTAGTACCTCTCCCCAAGTGCCTATAAATAAAGGAATCTCGAGGTGTCTAAATTTTACAGCAAGAATTTTTAGTACTTTGAGAAACTTAGTACTTACAAATATTAAATTTTACCTCTATATATCTTTCAGTGATGGTGAAATTACCCTCATAAATAAGCTAGCTGCTAGTGTGCTATACTAGCTCCTCTGGCTAGAACCCGCACTAGAAAAATGTAAACCCTGACCATCTCCTCCAGAAAGTGTAGAACACACAGTATCCTAGGTGCTTCAACGATATATGCGATGCTTTGAGAATGGGATGCACGAGGAATGCGAGCGCGAGCTCTAGGATTTGCCATTGATATGCTATGGTTGCAACGCCATAGTTGTTCTCGTTACCAACCTAGCATATCACAATCTAGTTCTAGGCCGAAGTTGAGTTAAGCTCGATCTACCTTCAAGGCGGATATGAGCTTAGAGCATCTCCAGTGTGAAAGTAAAATCGATTTAAGGCAGAGAAAAGCGAACCATACACATTGTGACAGCCGACTCATGGTGTCAGAAAAAAAAATCGAACTCTAAGTTGAAGTCGAACTCTAGAGAGTTAAAAAATATTTGTTGTCCATACATGCATAGAAATTAGAAAGTAGACGCACTGATTGGTTGATGGATTCTTTTTATGGGCCCCACAAATTGATTTCACACTGCAGCTATCGATTTCACTCTCCATTCGACTTCAATCAATACAATGGCCGAACCAAACACTGTGGTTGCTCTTACCAAGTGATTGAGTCAGTGATGAACAAACAGCTTAGCTTGTAGGTGGCTAGGTGCACCCGGGGGGCTCCACAGTGTGGCTTAGTCGAGAGCCCGAGACAGGCATCTTGCTATTCCCGTTGTGCACAAACTAACAGTCTCATCTTTTCACTTATACTCATGTTTATCATCTAAAATTTGAATTTTTAACCTTATACTTCAAGTTGATTTCAGGGTTTTTAAGTGAAGTTTATTTTTCAGCCTTTGCTTTTAGATCACTAACAAGTTTTATTTAAAATTACTTTTTGTTTACAAATATGCCGCTAGGGCCACAATGTTCTGCGGGTTTTGAGTACCAGATGTATAAAATCCTATAGCATGTGATAAACCCATTACTACAAAACATCAAATAGGTGTTGGCACTATAGGTGCCGGTAGTGCTTCTAAAACCGGCACCTATAGGCCTTTTTCGGGTTTTCCCACCTCCACGGGTTGAAATCGCAAAAAACGACACCATTAAGTAATTATAGGTGTCGGTTCTAAATAAAAACCAGCATCTACTCTATTTTGTGCCGGTTTTAAAAAAACCGGAACCCTTAGTATTTAATACCGGCACCTACAATCTATAATAAATTATAGGTGCCGGTTTTTTTGTAAAAAATCAACACCTATGAATTGAGCCGAGCCGATGGGCCCCACCACGAAGCTTTGAGGAGAAAAGGCCGCTCCGCAGTGCTCGTCTCCTCTCGGTCTCTCTCTTCGTCTCTCCGTCTCTCGTTCTCTCCTCTCGTTTTCTCCGCTCTCTACTCTTCTCTTTCTCCTCTCTCGGTCGGCGGAGGCGGCAGCGGCGGCTGCGCCCTCCCCTTCGCCAGATCCGGGGAGGGGCGGCCGCAGAGGGGCGGACCAGTGGCGGCAGAGGGGCGACATGCGGCGGCAGAGGGGAGGGGGGATGCTGCGGTGGGATGAGAGGCAGTGGCAGCTTGGCGGCGGCGCCCTCCCCTCTCGACTCTCTCTTGCTATCCGCGGCCGGCGGAGGCGTCAGCGGCAGTCGCGCCCTCCCCTCTGCCAGATCCGGGGAGGGCGGCCCGGCGGCGGCCGTGGAGGGGCGGTCCAGTGGCGGCGGAAGGGAGGGGGGATGCGGCGGCAGGACAAGAGGCGGTGGCGGCCTGGCGGCGGCTCCCTCCCTCCGTCGGATCTGGCGAAATGTTTCTTAAAAGATTTCTGTGAAATGATTTGTGTGATGTTCTTCAATGTTTCTTGATGTTAGTGAAATGATTTCTGTGATTTCTGTGAATGAGTTCTGTGATTTGGGATTGGGGATTAGGGAATGTTTATTGATATTAGTGAAATGATTTCTGTGATTTCTGTGAATGAGTTCTGTGATTGGGGATTGGGGATTAGGGATTGTGATGCAGAGATTGTG